ATATTGTAAAGAATTAACGGTACTTTTCGGGACATGGTCTTACGATCAATGGCAAAACCACTGGCAAACTACAATTACACTTGTTAAGGGAAAACCTTTATTTCTATAACAACATATAAAAGCAGTTTGAATTTAAATCAAACAGAAAATCTCGATCTCCTATCCTAAAACCAAAATCCACATATAGGAGTTTGAGTAGGCAAAACAACACGTGATGTCTTCGTAGCGACTGCTTGGTCAATAACTTTTTTGAGAAAGAAGGTTTGGTGGCGCTCTGAGCTGAACGTCTTTGAAACACACAGGACGCAATGCCACAAATTCTCATTCAATCTCCTCATTTATAATTTATAATTTCCACTCTATAATTGAAGATATGTAAACCATATTACATTCTTAGTTGTCTGGAGAGCAGCTTCTGAGTTCCCACACGCTATTCAACTTGCATTATTAACGCTCCAGATATTGCGTTTCTGGCATAGTTTGCATATACTAGAATGGAATGAGAGAAAGCCCCAAGAGATTGAAAAAACATACAATGAATGACATTATCACAGGTTGTGTGGACATTAACAAATAGACTTTAATAATGCGTCGACGTAGTATGTTTATCATATACCTCGTAACGTTATGAAAACCCCGGTGAGCGAATTGTTTGTATATTAGACTGGCCCAGCCTCGACAAAGTTACCGTTTTACATGATAAATGCTTTCAAAAACGAATTTGTAAAATCTATGGCGTTGGCGCGTCGGTCCAAGGCTTGAAAGAAAATGTATCTATTTGTATATATCAACTATATAGTATTATCCGAACATTGAGAATGGTTCAATTTCAACCAATGGTAGATGCATCTATTGGCAACCAGTAGCAAAATTGTCAGACCAGATACAAATGTTTTTTTGTTTTGTTTTAAATGTTTGTTATGCCCGGCGACAGTTCCTGACTTTTTTTGTATGTGCTGACATATAGTGCATTTTGCCACAGAAGCCATATTCATGTTTTGGGACTACACACAAGACAGGGCTGTGTGGCCATCTCTCTATTAAATGGCAATATACTGCGCTATCCTGGCGTCAATCAGGCTCAGTCAAACACAAGCACCTGCAGTAGAATCGACCTTCGAGTGAGAATGTGGCACACTCACCCAGGCTGGGGTCAACCCTTTAGGCGTTCGGCCTATTTTACACTAAAAATCATAAAATCCCAATTTAAAATCTGAAATACATAAAAATATTCCAATGATTTGTAAATTATTGATTTTATTAAAAATATAAACGTTATGACATCTGAACTTAAGTCTACAGATCATGAGTCTGATGCAACACCCACTATGCTACCAGTGATCTGTACAAATGTTTGCTAGATATGTCATCAAGCTGGATGTTTGACTCCAGATTTAAGAATGGTTCCATCTGAAACAAATATTCTATAATGAATTATCTATCATTTGTCTTTGTTTCTGGGGCAGGTCGCTTTCTAGAGTTGAATTTGTTAACATGTGTTTTCTTGTTTCCTCCCTAGTGTAGCATCAGGCAACCATTTTCGTAGTTTAGTTCACAATTCGTTCCCTATAGCCACAGTTCCGGTTTTACATATTCTCACCATTGACGCTCCCTGTAATGAGCAGCGGCAAGGAGGGGGGAGGGGGTAGCTAGTACAGGTCACGGGAAATAAAAACGGCATTTTACGTTTTTACAGGAAATAAAATGAAAGTTCTATTTACAGTAAAAAAATGCGGTTTTACACTTTACAGATAAAGCAAACTCCTAATTACATTTTACATTTTTATAACATTTTTGATAAATTGTGTTTAAGAATCAACATTGGAAATTAGCGGTCGAATTACGACATTTAATTTGGAAACAGCTTAATACGCTTACAAAATATAGAATCTTTGTATAAATTACGGACGAATAAAATAGATGATTACATTTTACACCTTGCCCATGTCTACGAATTTACGTTTTTTATTTATTTAAATTACATATAATTACGAAAATAAAAACAACTGATTACAGCTTACGATAGTATACCTTGCCGACCCTCTGCAATGTGACTACACACAACGCATTCTCACATGTTCAATAAGAGTGTGGAAAATTCCACTCATGCAATACATCGTACGGTCAGCGAGAAATTGCACGCAAAACGCAGCTGCTCAGTATAGCTGCCAACATAGTAAGTTATTTAAACCAAGTCGTGTGACACTCACGGCGCTACACTGTAACTCGCCGATTGATTTTCCCTGATCTCCGCTAAACGTTCCACTCTGCTATGTGAGGGCGCTGCAAATACGCCATTCGAGCGTCTCTATCTGTCTAAAGCTCGCCCATTGTAGGATAAAAAAAAAAATATGGGGACTGTATGTGAATTAACTGAATTGCAACTTCGTGCCTTACAGTCGTTCATTTGGGTTATTTTATACAAAACTGGCTAATATAAATGTACACGTTGTCAGCATATTATGCGAAAAATAAAATGTATGGCAAAAATATGAAAAAAAAAATATGACATGATCGGACATTAATATTCCAGTTAAAAGTAAAAATACCAATTTGTGCTTCTCTTCAATAGTTGGTTTTACACGAACGACAGAGTCTCCGTGCTTGATTATTTGATTCGTGGAAATGTAGCAAAGTAACAGTTTTTACATTAAAACACTGATACTTGTGTACTATATATTGTTCACTGAGGATATACACAAATATTTCCGTAAAGACACGCAAACAAATTTCACAATAAAAGGGTAATGTCTATTTCTGATAGTAATGCGGAAACAAGGTTATTAGCACGATGTGATGTCGGACTGAGATTATGCGACTTTCCGCTTGTCAGCTGTGGAAAATAATCTCAAACTGATTTGACAAATTAATATAGTTAAAAATAATTCAATGAATTAGAAAATAAAATTGTGATTTATTGTGAATTACTCGACAGAGTATTTAGGTATGGACATTCAACATGGCTTGATACAGGTCTGTCAAAAGAAAGTGTAAAGCACGTTGGTCCATATTGCGTTCAGCGTGGTGTTAGTGTAGCTAGTAGTGTAGTGATCACCGCAAGCGCCCTCTTACGGTGGAATTGGTGTAAACATTCTTCTTTATAAAAAAAAATGTTATGCTGCAGACATTCAAAGTGGGGAACGAAATACTATAGTTAGAAATAGAGCTGACTACAATAATCACAACAAATAACCAAATGAAACAAATCTTTCTGCAATCAAAAATAAAGACATGATTTCACTTTCGAAACATCTAAACTCTAAGACGAAATTATTCAAATTAGTAGGTTGTCCAGAAAGAGTTGTTGATAGTTAACTCCATTCCAAGTACAAGTGATTAACAAAACACCATCTCAGATGAGATCCCATGGGGTGCTTCGCAGACAAGAAACAGAAACTTGACGCTGTATGAATTGAACTTTATGCGATCTGAAATTATGATAAGATATGATATTGTATACATAAATTATAATCTTGTAAGAGATAATCATAGTTTTATGAAGTCAATATTTGATGCTAGTATTTTGCTTCTAGTTCTTGATACTGGGTAAATGTCCAACCTCTCGTTGATTCACGTAGAATCTTATAAATATATGCTATCCATTCCTCTCTGCTGGATTCATTTGAAGGTAGGCACGGTAACATAAAATATAATCATTTTATAAGCGAAGACAACACAGTGTTATTGACAAACGCTACTCAAAGTGTGTGGGAAAAATGTGGCGTTTCCATAGCTGTAGAGTGTGGCCCACCAATTAGTAATATTCTTTATGGATTTAAGCATAGAAATGGAAATCAATGCGAACCAAAAATACAAAACACATGTTTCATGATTTCTCTGAATTCTAATTGCGAGAACTCACAATAATGCACGTGAAGAAAATGAAATAAAACCTTCAATTCGACCCGAATTCTACGGCCATGATGTTAGTCAAGCGAATGTTTTATTAGCAATTATCAAAATATTTAGATACACCTCAGCTGACGGAACGCCTTTGTTGTACTTTCTCTTATCATTCCTCAACAAAATAATCAATTTTTTGTGTCGTAAATAGGTTTGGAGATCGAATAATAACAATATAGTGGTGATAAATATATTGTATGACAATGAATTATACGTCATTGTATTCTGAAGTCTTGAGAAAGATGTATGTAAGTGACAAATACTAAAACGTTATCTTAGGTCAGTCGTTACAAAGTTGAAACAATCTCATTTAATTTAATTTTACTCAATCAATGTATTACATTTTTGTGGTCAATATTAACGTAGAACAAATTTACACAAAACGATATTCACTGAGACTCACATTTTCATTACATTTCAGTAATATCGCCAATATATCTTAGAAGAAAAGTGGCATGCAACTTACAAGTCTCTGTTTTCACACCTCTATGGTAACACTAACATTGCATGACTGTATACTTGTAGGCATTTTCATCAACGCAAGAATTTTGTTTTATTTCGTGATACTGCAAGTATTGTCGTATTTAGATTCGTTTCAGAAATCAATGTTTCTTTCTGAATACGTAACTATGACCAAATCGCAAAATGTTTATTTTACAGCACTGTGTGGCAAAGCGCGTACGTAACATAGCTTTGAGTAGATAATTGACAGGTCGGTGGCAATGGTCTACTGGGATTTTGCAAATCAGACTAGACTCATTGGACATTTTTCCTAGACGTCATAATTGTGGCAAGAGAAACGCAACATTATCTTATTAACCACTACCGACCTTACCAGAACAAAACCTAT